TATAATTACCTAATCAAACAAAAGGAGAGGCAGGAAAATAGGGACTCTTCCTCTCTTGCTAGCTACCCTTGAAGCAAGAAGGGAGAAGCAGACGTGAAGGTGGGAGGGCATCTTCTCAAGAGGACAATACCCAATATTATGAATAAAATTAAATATCATTTAATATATTACAGAACACAATGCTAATCACTTGGAATATACATAAGGCTAATTGTGTTCTCTCCTGTGAAGCACTGCTGGCAAACAGTATTTCTGTGGCAAGAATGGTCTGCCAAGAGGGAACAGACAAGCTCCAGATCATCTACGTAGAAGGAGCTATCAGGTAACTACCCTCTGTGCCTACTTACTTGTCAGCCATACCCTAGACAAAATTTGGGTCTATTTTGGCATCCCTTGCCAAAACCCTGCCCAACTGTTTAGTTTTAGTCCTTCATCTTCTTTCAGGCCACCTCTGTGCAACGAAAGCATGGAAGTGATGTTTCAACCACCTGACAGCTCCAGAAGGAAAACTAGTAAATATTTTGGAAATATCGCTGATCCAATTTAACACCTGTTTACAGGGTAGTTTGTGCTCATATACATTGCCTGTATACTCAACATAAACAGGGATTCACTCATGCAATTCAAACCTGTCACTGATGCAACTAGCAAATTGCTGTAAAGCTTTTAAAGCTGTTGACATTATTATTAATTAGGGTTCCTTGCATATCAGAGCAAGTAACCTTTCAGTGATGTCTGGATGATCATGTCTCTGCTTAGAAATATTCTGACAATCCTACAGCTGCTTTCCCATGCTGCTTTGCACACACTTCTGACTTCTCAGTCTGCTTACGTATGTCTCTCCATCTCCGAGGTCACAGAAACCAGATATTGCCTCCCTGTTTTATTGCTGGCAGGCAGTTAAACTGTCCCTTTGCACTCTGATTCTTCCAGGATCAAAGTACTTTGTAAGTACTTTGAACTGGCTATGGCTAGCTGCATGGCCTGCCTGCTCACTGTGTCTCCAAGCCATGTTCTGCTCCTGGACCTTACCCCTTCCCTTAGAAGAAAGTAAGAAGTAGAGGAAGTCAGGGTTCCAAGTGCAGAAATAGTAATATATTTGAAGGAAATCTCATAACAGTGATTGAACAGGGCTCACATTTAAAAGAACTAGTCCCTATATACATGCTGTACGGAGTTCACATGAGGTATACCCTGCAAAAATTGGTGGGTTTAATTTTCAGCTTGCTGCTTAGCTACAGAATTCTTTATTACTAAAAACCCCTAAATATAATTTAAATTATTATTTAAGTCATATAGATATGTCAGGGCTTTCTGAAAATCCAAACCTTTATATTACTTCCACTTTTCACCTGGACTGAAGGGGGAAGAGCATTTAAGCAACATGCATTAAGCAGCAGCATTTAAGCTGAAATCTAGCCTGATTTCATCTTTCACAAAGTCTTTTTGACCTTTACTATTAACTGTGCTCTTCCAGGTGTCCTTGGAATGAGCATTTGAAGAACATTTCCTAGTATTGATGCCATAAATCTGCCAATACAACTTTCAGTTTTGCCCCTAGTTTTTCACTGCATTTTCATTATTTTCCACCTACATAATGATGATTTGGAAGTATTTTGTCACTCTTCTCTTCCAAAACTGCATTTAATTGCTTTCCAGTTTTTCCTTACTTTTCCCTCTTCTGGTATTCAGCCTCAATGCTTAATTACATTTACAGATCTTATACAGCCTACTACATAAAATCATGTTGCCTCCCTATCTCTAGCACCTACACCAATTCTTTCTTCATTCTTTTACACACCTCAGTCTTCATCTGGCCATTCACCTTCACCTTTCCTGCAGTGTGTCCAAAGTACCATTTGAAAGTAGCCCTCTATAGTCTAAATATATGACCTTCCCTGACTTTGCTTCCTGTTTCTGAGCTCACTACTATCCACAAAAATGCTGCT